CACAACCCCCTCCCCTTCCCTCCCCTCCCCATGCCATCCAAACTCGTATGTTGCGGCATCCCCTTCAACTAGGGTGTTTGCTAGCTTTCCACCCTACCCCAACCAAAGCACCTCCTTCCTTGAGTTCATCAGAATTCACCCGATGATCATCCGATCAAACCCATCACCAATACAACAAGCGACGGGCAATGCATCGAGACCAAGGGAAGGCTAGCGACGTGTTTTGTGTTGTCGCATTGCTTGAGGATCTAGAGATTCAGCCAATCGGAGTCAGTCAGAGGAGCTCCGGTCAGGGCGGTTATACAGGACTAACGAATAACCAGATTGAGACCCCACTCGAGAACCGATTGGCGAACTAATCTTGCCGCTCAGCCTCTTTAGAAGGCCCAGGAAAGCCTCATGTCCTTCGTAGCGCGGAGCGAATAACGCCTACTCTTATGCCTCCATTAGTTTGGAGCTCATCCGCGATTTGTAGGATTCCCCCCGCCGCCGCCATTCTCTAGGCGGTCCGCACTCCTCACAAAGGTCGGCAATCTTACGCGCCGCGCCATCTGCCTTCGAAGCGAAACCGATGCGCATGAGAGAAACTGGGTTCATATTTCTTACTATGGCGCGGAAAAAACCCCGCCACGCGGTCTCGCCGACTCTCGTAACCCTGTTACTGCAAGCGCTCGCAATAGCCCCCAAGCTCGCTGCCCCCACTCCGCCAGCGGGAGGCGCGGCGTCGATCGATCTCGCCTTCCCCTTCAAAGCCTCCTCCTCCGCCCCGCAGTTCAAACCAGACACCCTCCCCGACCTTCCCGCTTCCCCGCAACCCACCGTTCCGCCGGTTCCCAAGCCCGCGGCCGTTCCTTCCGCTCCGAGCGGCAGCTCCTCTGCGCCGACTGGCTCCCCCAGCCCTTCTTACCCCAAAACCTCCTCTCCCGTTGCTCCGGAAAAACCCGGCATTCCGGATCCGAGCCCTTCCGCCCTTCATTCGCCCAAGGGGACACCCCCCGCTGCAGTGACGCCGGGTACCGCCTGCCCCGCGTCCGACCTGGACGGATACACCTTCTCGGCTCCCCTCATTCCCGACCAGTAAGTTCCTCTCCTCTCCGCATAACAGTGATGATTACTCCTGTTCTCGTTCTCCTTCTCGTTCTCGTGCCTTCCTTTCGAGAATTCTCAAATGTGATTCCTCTGAGAGCCCCTTCCCGAGCTCCGCTCACCACACCACACCTCACTGATTTCGCCCTCATCCTCCCGCTTCCTTGCTTCCTTCTCCTTCTCCCCCCTCGCCAGGTTCCCCCTTCGTGCTCCGCTGGCGGCTGCGCGCGTCGGCGCTGGACATATATGGTGGAGGCGCGACTGAGCAGCTAATCTGACAACTGCCTCACCATTTCATGCTCTTTCTTCCCCGTTTCCTACTCCCGTTTCCCCACTTTCCTTCCGTTCTTTTCTCCCGTTTCCTCGTTTCCTTCTCCTGCTCCCCCATCCCCAGGTTCGTCCTCCACTGGCGGCTGCGCGCATCGGCTTTGGACATAGCCGTGGAGGCGCGGCTGAGCAGCAAGATCGACAACGGCTGGATGGGCGTCGGCTGGTCGCTCACGGGCGCGATGTCGCCGTCCGACGCCGTCATCGGCAATCTCGAGGGCGGTGCGATCCGCTCGTTCTCGCTGGGAGGTTACACTGCGGATTCTGTAAACGCGACGAATCATATAGACCTTGGGGATAAGGGATCGACTTCGACGGCTTCGGGGTCTACAGTGTTCTGGTGTGTTACTTACACTTACGTTACGTTTGTTACACCATCGTTTTTCTTTAATAACTGGCATACACAGTGTGTAAAAATTAACAATAAGAGTTCATTGCTTCTAGAACTGCAGCCGTGAACTAACAAACGCCTGCATTACACATCTTGTGTGTCACTAACTCGCTGCTGGTGGGGTTAACGAGTCTAACTCCGTTATAAGGCGCCCCTTTGACTTTTGAGGATGTTGGTGGACTGTTGGTGAACAGAAGAAGACACGTTGCTACAGACGACAAGCGCCTACCCTCGCGCGTATCGACTAACCTACCAACCTGCACCCGACTAACCTCCTGTGCTAACTGTGACTACGGGGGAAGGAGTGAAAGGGCGGCCTTTTCCCCTAGAGGTCTCTAGACGGATGTGGGAGGGGGGGAACGGAGAAGGAACGGGCGGAAAACGGGGAAATAAGAGAGGCTCGGGTTATGGGACTAGGGGGCTTAGTAATGGCTTGGAGCGCTTGGTATGCGAGTCGTGTGGTTCCATGTGCCCTCTAACCACACATTTGATGCTTGCGAGGCCTCTTGTGCTATAGAGGCGATTTGAGGCATGTAATGCATGTACTTGGGGGAACTTACATGCATGTTCTCTCTTGTGAGGCCTCTTACATGCATGTACTTGTTTTGCACATCCACACCCGCACGCATCCCCCTTCCCTGTCCCAGGTTCTCCCGGTCGCCAGGGGATGGAGGCTCGGTGCCGATCCAACTTTCCGGACCTAACTTCCTCATCTGGGCCTACTCTGGGGACATGTTCCAGACCCTTGGTTACCACAGCAACCATAGGTAAACCTCTCACTACCACTGCCCGCCCCTCATTCTTGTTCTGGTCTCTTGCTCCCATTCTTGGTCTCCAGTCTCTATTAAACCTCCTCTCTTTACCTTGCTATCCCTCACCCTTCGCCCTGCCACAGCCCCTACTGCGTACCCCCGGACAACAAAGCTGCCTAAATTTCCCCAGTACCCCACTTTCCCGCCCACCCCGCACCTCGTCTCTCTCCGCACCTCAATCCCACCACAATCCCCCAACCTCGTGCTCCCCACCTCATATTCCCCCTCCTAAATCTTCCCCTCACCTCATCCCTACTCAAACTTGCCCTCTGGTGTACAAGAGGAGTCCCAGACGAGTATCGCAGGTGGACTTCTCATGCAACACTGCTCATCTTTCGTCGCACCTTGTCTCTTCCCCCAGCTCATTCTCCCACCACTTTTCCCCAACCTCGTGCTCCCCACCTCATATTCCCCCTTCCTAAATCTTCCCCCCACCTCATATTCCCCCCACCTCAATATTTGCCCACCTCATCCCTACTCAAACTTGTCCTCTGGTGACACAGAGGAGTATCTCAGGTGGACTTCTCATGCAACACTCCCCCCCACCCCTCACCTCGTCTTTTCCCCCAACTTCGTGCTCCCCATCTCATGTTTCCCCCACCTCATTCCGACTCCTCAAACTTGCCCTCTGGTGACACAGAGGAGTTTCTCAGGTGGACTTCTCATGCAACACTGCACCCCAGGTTCTGCTGGGGGAGGGAAGCCCCGAAGACGACGACCAAGGGGAATTTACCCCGGATAATCCTTACGATCTATCCCCTTCGGATCCTCTGGGGGATGAAGGCAATGATGAAAACACAGGAAGCAGCAGTTCTGGAAGTGATGACAGCAGTACAGGAGTCGTGCCTCGCAGTAACCAACCTGGCGGGGTGTTACGGAAAGTGTGGAGTGTTTTGTTACCATCATTTGGCTAAGCTAGTTGGCAGAGCTGATGTGTGCCATACTTAACTCGTGGACGAATCTGATTAGTGGGCGCCATACTTCATTCGTTCGTTTAGGTTCTTATGTTGAACTGTGTTGGTAGTGGTATAGTGGGGCTAACATCTTAGGCATTTAGTTGAACTCTGGAAATAATGGTTAAAACAAGCATGCGGCTTGTGGTGACGCTATTGTATCTTCAAACACCTATATCTCACAGATATAGGCCTACCTACAATGAAGTGCTTGCGTCGTATTGGATATGAGATTGCATCGCAGGTTGTACATGACATTTGCTTGCATAAGCCCCTTTTTACGGTATCAGTGCAATTGAATGAGTGAGGATTGCACTGTCAAAGATACCGTATTAGTGTGAGCAAAGTGCAAACAATAAGGTGATGTTGCGACCTACCATAGTTTATGCGATGCTGGTAGCGAGGTTCGGGCTTCTCCTGAGGAGTAAGCCAATTCGTTCATGTACATAAGTGCAAGGTTTGGAAAAAGTATAGAGTGAGGTGGCAAAAATTGTTAACCGGTAATGGGTGAAGAACAGTCGAGCCCATGAACATTCTTTTACACAGTGACGTCAGGCTCGCATTTAGAAACAAACAGAACAAATGAAAACAGTCCTCGAATTTATCAATTTAGGACTGGTTTCCTAAAAACTAGGTAACTGAAGTATTAGTACAGATGCTGGAGTATGTTGTGACTCTCAGAGGTAGGTGCATTAGATTGGATGGGAGAGATAATATGAGTGCCCTGAAACATTTCTATAGCGTTCATGGTGTAGCGCCCACTTACCGCAAGATCTGCTGTGTATGCCATCGTGTGAGTGATGGTTTTTGCGCCTCCTGGCTAGGTATTGGCTCTGATTGGTCAAAAAGAACGAGCCGCGACATTGAGTTCAGGCTTGGCGAGCTACGTGAGTCCCGAAATGCGATGAGATTTTGTTGTCGGTGTAGCCAAGTCCGAGCCGCGATGCCACATTGTTCCCAGCCCCCTCCCCTGGCACGAAAAGCTGTCCGTCCAGAATCTCAAGGTTCTCCAGAATGTAGAATTCCAGGCACGAAAGTCGACTGCGCAGTTTTCTATGCTTGTGTCTAAAGGGACAAGGTTTCAATCACGCCGTCAGGGAGTAACAGAGAACATCCTTAGTCCAGGCAAGCAACCCGCTATGGCCTGATTGATGTGATGTGTAGTGAACTTGGACACGTTTCTGTCGGTCGCGCGTCGCGATTTGCATGGGCCTACCAGGCTAGTCTCAGATCCCCCAACAACTTAACGAGGCCCAAGTTCAAATAGGCCCAGGTTCATTTGCTTAGCACATCTGAAACCAGCAAGTCGTTCACTAGCAATCGATTGTTGCCATTCGTTTCCTACACAGCGATCACCTTCCCTTCAAGCAAGTTCTCGTTTTGCCTCGATACTGGTAGCTGGTCCAAGCCATGGCTCGCCCGTGCCACACAATGGGCGTCCTAACTCTTGTCCTTCTGGCGTCCGCCCTCCTCTCCGCGCACGCCGCGGAGATGAAAACCCGCGATGACCTAACCGGTGCCGGAGGTACCAACAAGCAATTCATCAACAACTACGACACCGTCACTCCTGCCGCTGTTATCACCCCCCGCCCCAGGGACCCCGAGCCTGTTGCCGAGCCTGTTCCCGAGCCTGTGACTCCCGAGCCTGCGACTCCCAAGCCGGCTACTCCCATCAACTCCGTCACCACTCCGAACCCCGTGTCGGCCTCTCAGGACGTCTTCACTGACGATCCTTTTGGTAGCTCGAAACCGGCGCCCGTCGCCAACTCGGGTCCGTCGTTCGACCCCAACGACCCTCTGGGCGGCAGGGACCCTCTCGCGGGCGATGACTCCAAGACCGGCATGCAGACGACAAGCGCGACCGACTCTAGCGCGTATGACGGCACAGCGCAGCCCAACCAGGTGAATCAGGTGCCCCCGACTGTTCCCGATGTTCCCGACAACGACACTGGCGTCGCGCAATCGTCCACCTGCGACCCGTCCGACTTGGATGGTTACACGTCATCGTACCAGATCACCAAGTACGGCCACGTGCTGCACTGGGCCGTGGTCTCTCCAACGGTCGTCAAAATCGCCTTCGAGGCTAAGCGCGGCAGCGGCGCGGCGTTGGGATGGGTCTCCGTGGGTTTCTCTAAGGACGGCAAGATGTCGCCCGCTGACGCCATTATCGGTAACCAGCCAGACACGCCCATTGCAGCCTACTCGACGACGGGTTACGATGCGGGGTCCATCACGGTCAATAAGAACCTGTGGATCGGCGACGATGCGAGCCTCGTGACCAAGACCAACGGCAGCCTCATTATGAAGTAAGCCTTTTACACCTCGCCTCCCATAGTAATGCCTGCATCATGACGCCTTTTTCGTGACTTCCGGAGGACGCACGGTCGTTGACGTTTTCCGTTTCGTTGACCCTTTTCAGGTTCCAGAGAACCATCACGGACGGCGTTGCGCCCATCTCCACGACTTCACCCGTCACCGTCATCTGGGCCTTCTCCGCCGACAACACCAAGCCGCTCTCCTACCACGGCGAGAAGCGACGGTACCCACGCAGTCCCTCCAATTCTGCCCTGATCCTACTCCTTCCTAGCGGCGGAAACTTTGCACCACCTAGTACTTCTCAATCTTCCCTGTTCCCTTGCGGCTTACCTCGATTTTTTGTTTCCGTTTTCCTCTTCGCAGCGGCTCTTTCCAGGTTGACTTTTCATGCAATGGCGGCAGCGGCGTGGCGACGCAGCCGACGGCGCCGGTGCCCGTGCCGGTCCAGGGCACGGAGGTGACGGTGGGGTCGGCGTGCGATGCGTCGACGCTCGGCCAGTACGACCACCAAGCTGATCTCTACAACGGAAAGTGAGTTTTTCTTGCAATCCCTGCCGTGCGATTCGTGTTAATCCAACCATCACCATCATTAACTCGACCAGTACGACCACCAAGCTTTTCTCTACGAGGGAAAGTACGCGTTTCTTTCCCGATACTGACATGTCTCGTTTCATGATCCGCTTCATGTCTCGTTCAAGTGCATCTTGATCTCGCCTAATGATTCTTGCTCGCTCTCTTCTGTCTTTTCACGTGCCGTCCGCAGGATTCTGCTGCACTGGAAGGTTCTGCCGGGTCCCGTCTTCAAGATGGCACTCGAGGCGAAGCGCCTCAGCGGCGCAGAGAACAGCTGGATTTCCGTCGGCTGGTCGAACAACGGGGCCATGGCGCCTGCCGACGCAGTCGTTGGTAACATGCCTGGGATCAAGGCGTACCGACTAGATGGTTACAAGATGGCAGAGCTCGTCAACGACACGTTTTCGCTCGGGCCGAACCCGTCGGTCACCACCTCGGCTACTGGGTCCACAGTTGTGAAGTGAGTGTTTTCACCAGAGCAGTTTAGCTTGCAGTACAAGCCTCACATGCGCACGCCTAAACACTGTTCGGGTTGCTTCTTGATTCCACAGGTTTTCCCGTACCAACGGGGATGGCGGTTCGGTTCCGATCAACCTGAGTGGCGAGACGTACGTCATCTGGGCCTTCTCCCGCGGCATGCTCGAGACGTTCGGTTATCACGAATACAACAGGTGCGTTGCACGATGTGTTACCAGTCTGTCAACGTATCCTGCGGAACGAACCTTCGTCCTTAAACTGTCTTTGCTGGTAACTCCGGCAGGGGTCTCGCCACGGTTGATTTCGTCTGCAACAAAGCTCCCGCCAGCCTGATGGGACCTGCCGACAATGTGGCGACTATCCCGGGTGCTAAAGTGGACAAGGATCCTTACGCGGGCCTGACCCCTGCCGAGCGGGCGGACAAGGAGGCCCGCAGGGAGCGCCGCACAGCGCGCCGAGCACAGCGCGGAGCTATTTTCCGTTCATGGGCTGATGCTGCGTTTGGCCTCCCCAATCCCGCCCCGTCAACGAACCCATCGACCTACCCCTAAGTCGCCATCATGCTGCACTGAAATATTATTTTCTACGCCTAGTTTCTTCACAAGCCTTACAAGATGTGGATTCTGCTTGGGTGTAGATGTGCTATGCTAATTAGAGTAAGTTCTTGTACCCACATAATGTAGGTTAGGCACCTCGATGCATTCTTTTGTGACCTACCTTATCATCAGTATGAAACATTTTCTATAAACAAGTAGACATGCCAGCGTCGGGGAGAATGCCGCTTAGGTGGAATGGCTTCCACGTGGTCCGATTGTAACACTAAAAGTGGCACCATTGTGTCATTATGAAAGTAAGTGTTCGGGTTGCCATGGGCTTAATTTTTTGTTTAAGTTGTCCATTATTCACCTTACAGAAATCAAGGTGAGAGTGGGTTCAACGGAATAGACTGACAGCCTGAATTTCCAGCCACTTTACACGGGATTGCTTGTAGAGGGGTTCGTTTTCAAACTTCGTGGACAAGCTCGTTTGGCGTACTCGTGTGTGAGTTTCGTTGACCATCTTCGAGCGTGTGCGTACGGACAAACCACAGTGCCAGCGCACCATCCGAACGAAAATTAGGTGTCACACACGCTGCTCGCTCTCTGCTTTGGTTCATCGCTGCGACCTACACCGACAAGTTCGCATAACAGCTTTGATTTGACGACGACCCCGTTAGGAAAAATAACGACCATCGTCGGGCTTGCTTCGCGAACGAAACAGCTGCCCAGTGGTGGTCGGTGACCAAGCTGTCAACGTTAGCCAATAAGGAACTACCGAAGCTCTCTTGCTTCTGCGCTGTAACGACGACCAACCACTACAACTGTGCACCAAAAGCCGAACCTCGACTCCTCAACATTGCATCCAGCGGGTTTCCACGCGAAGGTGCACACCCGGAGCTGGGAAAACACGTGTCACCGCGACTCGCATCGAGATGCGGCGGCGGAGCAACGCGTGCCTCCAGCCAGTCGTCTCGGTGCGCAGCTGCGTTGCGCCACAAGGGGGAAACGGATCCGATTCTTGTCGGCATTCAGTAATTCCGCCCCTCCACCCTATTTCACCAAACGTAACCCCACACCACTTCGTTCAACCCCTCTACTCTCAGTCGACCCCACCCCACCCCGGTTCTCTCACACCGCTCTCTTTCACTCCCTCCCCCGCTTCGCCCCCGCAAATCGCCTCCTCCTGCTGCGTCCTCTCCCCCCATCCCATCCCATCCCATCCACTGTCGTTCTCTTTCCCTAGTTTCTACTAACGTCCGTGTCTTCCTCCTATAAAGCTAACCAGCCATAAGAATCTCCAATCCAACCACACTCCGCCCTAGCCTACCACCATCCGGCTCCCTCCACCTCCGTCCTCATCTCCACGTCTCATCCGCTCAGCTTATCGCTAATCCACTCTCCACGTCACCCCACCGCACTCGCTCTCGCATTGCGCAAGCTCAGCCCCCCATCGCTTAGAGTCATGGCTGCCGCCAGAGAACACGAACCGCGTGTATTTAACCTCATGCGCGTCTCCATCACGTTCCTCCTCGTCGCCGCGGTACTCGTAGGCAGCGTCGCCGCTGCGCCGGATGCTGCGAGTTCCGCACCATCGCCATATCTCCGAAAATCCCAAGGCCTCCTCAACCGATTCAACCTTTGGCGCAATAAATTCCACCTCAAGCCCTCGCAACCCACTGGCGCTGCTGCTGCTACAGGCGGAGCAGCTGTAGCGGCGGCGAAGACTGTGACGCCTGCCGCCACGGGCACGTGCCAGGCGTCGACTCTCGCGGGTTACACGAGCTCCGTGGACCTTTCGGGCAACGGGTGAGTCCTATATTGAGTCTTTGGACAAAACCCCCGATATTAGCCGTGCAAACGTATCTATGAGATCTTTTCATTCCTTTCATTTCACGTATTTCTTTTCTCCCAAAATCTCTTGACCTGCTTTCGTAGCCTCAAATTTTAATTTATCTCCGGGACGCGCTTTGTTTGTTTCCCCAGGCTCATCCTTCACTGGAAGACGTCAACGGGGTCAACGATCGACCTCGCGCTCGAGGCCAAGTCAACGAGCGGCGCGGCGAGCGGGTGGTTCGCGGTCGCATGGACTAACGGCGGCATGTTCAACTCCGACGCGGTCATCGGGAACCTCGCGACGGCCAGCGGCGTCGGCACGTACGCGATATCGAGCTACTCGAGTGTGGTTACCACGACGCGCTTCGCCATCACGGGCACGAGCGTTGCTTCGTCAGGCGGAAGCACGATCGTGAAGTTCACGCGCGGCACGGGAGACGGGCTTGTGAAGGTGAACGGGGCGGGGAGCAACAGCCTCGTGTGGGCTTACTCTTCTGGCGGCTCGAAGACTGTCGCCAACCATGGCGGCTCGCACAGGTACCGCCTTGCGCTCTCTTTGATTCTGACTGGCTGTCTGTCACTTCGTTACAAATTTACCCGTTTTCTGTAGCGTCAGCCCACCGGTTCTAGATGTAGTCGTTTCGCACTTCATAAATGTGTAGTTTCTCCTTCCTTGGTCCGTCCTGCCCTGTTTCCAACCCTCCAGAGGAGCCAAGTCTGTTGATTTCTCTTGCGACGGCACGGGCTCAAGCTCGGGGTCAAGCGGGTCAGGCTCGGGATCAGGCTCGGGATCAGGCTCGGGCACCGGAGCAGGCACGTGCACGGGTAACACGGGCGTGAGCGGCACGGCATGCCCTGCGTCCACCCTCTGCGGCTACTCCTACCAGGCGCAGATCAAACCTGGGTAAGCGCGGCGACCGAATCCGGATGCTGCTACTGCATTTGCTTTGACCATTGTAACCCCTTCTTCTACTGCTTTTGCCATTTGTAACCCCTTTTTCCCCCTCTCTCCTCCTTCCAAACCCCTCCCCAGAGTACTGCTGCACTGGAAGCGAGCCTTCTCCACGCAGCTGGACATGGCGGTGGAGCTCAAGAGCTCATTCCCCTCTTTTCTCCCCACTTTCCTCCTCTCCTCCTCATCCCCCCTCTCTCCAGCGTTCTGCTGCACTGGAAGCGCGCGTCCGCCACGCAGCTGGACATGGCTGTGGAGCTCAAGAGCAGCAGCGGCGCCAGCAACGGCTGGTTCGCCCTCGGCTGGGGAGGACGCATGGCTCCTTCCGATGCTGTCATTGGCAACAGGGCCGGGGGAATCACCAGCGCGTACCACATCACTGGCTACAGCATGTCCTCGTTACAAGGCGGCTCGTTTAGCATTGGCAGCAGCGCTGGGACCGTGAAGTCTGCTACGGGCTCCACAGTTATCCAGTGAGTGGGGCGATTGGTTCTCGGTCATGACATCAGCTACTGTGTTTATTTTCTGCACAATCATCATTCCATTATTCCGTCGGCTTACACTGTGACCCCCTACCCCACCTGCTGTTCTCCTATTCCCCCTTAATTTCAACAGTTTTTTCCAACCCAAACAAACTAACGGCTTTCTCTCTTTTCCCGCCTATGGACCAATCAGGTTCTCGCGCACGGCCAACACGGGTTCTCAAGGCATGAAGATGAGCGGCGTCAGTCGGCTCGTATGGGCGCACTCCAACTCCAACTCCAAGTCTCTTGCCTTCCACGGCGGCGCTGAGTGAGTTCCCCTACCCCTACCTCTTGTTCGATAATTTCGCATTCGAGAAGCTCATATGGCTACACTCCAACTCCAGCTCCAAGTCCCTCTGCCTCCCTCTTGTCTCTTTACCTCTCTTCTTTCATCTCTCTTTTCCACTCTATGCTCTTCCCTCTACCGCTCGGCACCTCTCGCGGTGGACTTGGCCCTTCTGCAAACTCCACCTGTGCTCTCCTTCATCTCACCACCCTCTCTCCCTCTCCCTCTCCCTCTCCCTCTCCCTCTCCCTATCACTCCTTTTAACGCAGTGGCTACATGTCCGTGGACTTTTCCTGTGCCACTGCCCCATCCTCTGGCGGCGGCGGTGGGGGCGATGATGATGGTGGCGATGGCGATGGTGATCACGAGGGGGGTGGTGATTATGATGGTGATGGCGACGGTGGCTTCGGCGGTGGTGGTTCCGGTGCAGGGAGCGCGCTGTTCTCGCAGTTCATCGCTTGGCTCGGCTCGCTCTTCGGCTTCCGCAAGTAGTTGGTGTAGACTGTACAATGGAGCATGTGCGCAGAATATTGCACCCCACTTGCTGCATTGGAGGAGGTTTCGTGAAGTGTTGATTCCAGTATAAAAGGAGGTTAGGGGAGGGAGCCAGCTCGGCCGGACCACAGGCATCTTTTGGAGTTGTGTGGGCTGTTGTGTTCGGACACAGCGCAAAAGATGGTTGTGATGCCATGCCTCTGCTGTTTGTTTGTGATGTGTTGCTATTTATGTCCTTGTGTTCCAGTCACGCATAATACCATACCATATCACTATACCCTCCTGCTGTTTGGAGTTGTCAACATTTAGTTTGTCATGCCAACCTTAGCATGCAAGGTTCCTCCCAAAATTAAATCATCCCTACCGTACTTATTCAAGTCAGCTGACACAGAGGGCCAATGAAGAAGATGAAAATACCTCTCATAGTATATGTTTGCAAAATGGCTGTGCTAAAGACATCTACAACAATAAGGCTAACACCTAGTTCTACATACCTAGCAGGCTACTATAGATTCCGTTATGTCCCTACTGTCTAAAAAGAATAGTGGAAAATGCTAGGTATTCAGGGCAATGGCGATGACGGACGGGACGATTGGACAGGGCTGGGGAGGCCAAACATAGCATCGGCCCATGAACGGAAGATAGCCCCGCGATTGGCTCGGCGCGCTGTCCGGCGCTCTCTGCGGGCCTCCTTGTCCGCCCGCTCGGCAGGGGTCAGACCCGCGTAAGGGTCGTCATCCACATTAGCACCAGGAATGTTCGCAATATTTTCGCCAGGCCGCATCAGAATGGTGGAGTCCTTGTTGCAGAGGAAATCAACCATGGCGAGACCCCTGCGAAGAAAATGACGAGTTACCAGCACGGTTAGTTCAGCCAGCACGCTAGCCCAGCACAGACCCCTGTCCGTAATTCATTGTATGCACTGCAAAACAGAGCCATATTTTTCCAGATGGTAGTAACGCACCTGTTGTTTTGGAGCCGAGGGGAGCCGAGGGTGCCCGGGGCACCCCAGGGAGTGCAGCAGGCAGGAGGGGAGCCGAGGGTGCCCGGGGCACCCCAGGGAGTGCAGCAGGCAGGAGGGGAGCCGAGGGTGCCCGGGGCACCCCAGGGAGTGCAGCAGGCAGGAGGGGAGCCGAGGGTGCCCGGGGCACCCCAGGGAGTGCAGCAGGCAGGAGGGGAGCCGAGGGTGCCCGGGGCACCCCAGGGAGTGCAGCAGGCAGGAGGGGAGCCGAGGGTGCCCGGGGCACCCCAGGGAGTGCAGCAGGCAGGAGGGGAGCCGAGGGTGCCCGGGGCACCCCAGGGAGTGCAGCAGGCAGGAGGGGAGCCGAGGGTGCCCGGGGCACCCCAGGGAGTGCAGCAGGCAGGAGGGGAGCCGAGGGTGCCCGGGGCACCCCAGGGAGTGCAGCAGGCAGGAGGGGAGCCGAGGGTGCCCGGGGCACCCCAGGGAGTGCAGCAGGCAGGAGGGGAGCCGAGGGTGCCCGGGGCACCCCAGGGAGTGCAGCAGGCAGGAGGGGAGTTGAGGGTGCCCGGGGCACCCCAGGGAGTGCAGCAGGCAGGAGGGGAGCCGAGGGTGCCCGGGGCACCCCAGGGAGTGCAGCAGGCAGGAGGGGAGCCGAGGGTGCCCGGGGCACCCCAGGGAGTGCAGCAGGCAGGAGGGGAGCCGAGGGTGCCCGGGGCACCCCAGGGAGTGCAGCAGGCAGGAGGGGAGCCGAGGGTGCCCGGGGCACCCCAGGGAGTGCAGCAGGCAGGAGGGGAGCCGAGGGTGCCCGGGGCACCCCAGGGAGTGCAGCAGGCAGGGGGGCAGCCGGGGGTGCCCGGGGCACCCCAGGGAGTGCAGCAGGCAGGAGGGGAGCCGAGGGTGCCCGGGGCACCCCAGGGAGTGCAGCAGGCAGGAGGGGAGCCGAGGGTGCCCGGGGCACCCCAGGGAGTGCAGCAGGCAGGAGGGGGGCTGAGGGTGCCCGGGGCACCCCAGGGAGTGCAGCAGGCAGGAGGGGAGCCGAGGGTGCCCGGGGCACCCCAGGGAGTGCAGCAGGCAGGAGGGGAGCCGAGGGTGCCCGGGGCACCCCAGGGAGTGCAGCAGGCAGGGGGGCAGCCGGGGGTGCCCGGGGCACCCCAGGGAGTGCAGCAGGCAGGAGGGGAGCCGAGGGTGCCCGGGGCACCCCAGGGAGTGCAGCAGGCAGGAGGGGAGCCGAGGGTGCCCGGGGCACCCCAGGGAGTGCAGCAGGCAGGAGGGGGGCTGAGGGTGCCCGGGGCACCCCAGGGAGTGCAGCAGGCAGGAGGGGAGCCGAGGGTGCCCGGGGCACCCCAGGGAGCGCAGCAGGCAGGAGGGGAGCCGAGGGTGCCCGGGGCACCCCAGGGAGTGCAGCAGGCAGGAGGGGAGCCGAGGGTGCCCGGGGCACCCCAGGGAGTGCAGCAGGCAGGAGGGGAGCCGAGGGTGCCCGGGGCACCCCAGGGAGTGCAGCAGGCAGGAGGGGAGCCGAGGGTGCCCGGGGCACCCCAGGGAGTGCAGCAGGCAGGAGGGGAGCCGAGGGTGCCCGGGGCACCCCAGGGAGTGCAGCAGGCAGGAGGGGAGCCGAGGGCGCCCGGGGCACCCCAGGGAGTGCAGCAGGCAGGAGGGGAGCCGAGGGTGCCCGGGGCACCCCAGGGTACGCAGCAGGCAGGGGGGGGATCGATGGACGACCGGGAACAGCAGTTGGAGGAGTGGTGCCGACTTTTGGAGTTTGATACCCCCATGGCGACTGCGGAGGAGTCAGAGGCGGACGGAGAACCACCCAGTCCGCCTTCCCCATGCCCCCGTTTCCCGTGTGACACGTGTTTCCACACGTTCGCCACGAGAGGGGCCGCTGCGAACCACATGAGGGTATGCCGGGCGGCTGAGGCGGAGAGACGCGCGCAGGCACTTGGCTCGATCCCGTCTCTGGTGGAGACCGACACACAGGAGCGACCGACGCCGCGGGAATTTGGGGACGAGGCGTGGGCAGGGGTTAAGTCATGGGAGTGGGAGGCATTTTTCTGTGTGGAGGCGGTTGGAGGGAGGACAGTGCGCCGAATCCCGCAGCGGGCCCGGTCCGGGGTCTTAGACGCACTCTGTTGCATCTTGAAGCGGCTGAAGAGCCGACCGGGAGATGAAGCTGCTACCCTCCTACTCCTGGCGTTTCCGCGCCTCATCCTAGCCGTGCCTCCCAAGCCAGGCATAGGTCAGAAGGCGCTGATCATAGAGCGGCTGGGGGCCTTCTGGGAGGGGAGGTGGCGGGAGTTGTTCGACGCTGCCATGGCGGCGGCACGGCCAGCAGTTCGCCCACTTGCCTACACGTGCTCTGACCAGGACCCGGAGGCCATCCGCCTGTCACGGTGCCGATCTCGGTGTAAAGTGGGAGAGTGGAGCCGTGGTTTGTCTTGCCTCACAGCAGGAGAGTTGGCTCGACCAACTGAGGCTATGGTGCAGTCGCTGCGAGGGAAGCACCCAGCTAGCAGTGGCGAGGTACCACCGTGGGTTCGTGAGTTTACTGTCGACGCTCCTCAGCGGCCTCCACTCACGACCGACATTCTGGCTAGAGCTATCCACACAGCTGCTCGCGCCTCAGCTGCAGGGCCATCGGGATGGGTCACAGAGCATCTGCGCGACACTTTCCTCACGGAACCTTCCTGCCTCTCCCACCTGCTGGAAGTGTTCAACCAATGGGTGGCGGGACAGGTCCCCGAGCGAGCTCGGCCCTGGCTCGCCGCATCCAACCTAGTCGGGCTTTCCAAACCCAACGGTGACGTCCGGCCGGTGGCGATCGGGGAGGTGCTTCCGCGTATCCTCGCTCGAGCTCTCTGCATCTCGCTTCGCCCTGTGATGGCTTCTTATTTTCTGCCGTGTAACCAGCTGGGAGTGGGCACCAGGGCCGGGGTGGAGATTCTTACTCATTCTTTCCGGTCAGCGCTGGCCACTCACCCCGACTGGTGTGCGCTGCAGATAGATGTCGCGAACGCCTTCAATTCGTTTCATCGCCACGCGATGTTCGAGGGGCTGAAGGAGTCGCCTTTCTCAGGAATGATCCCATTCTTGCGTGTCTTCTATGGGACACCTAGCGACCTGTACCTCCGAGCGGGCCCTTTCGTACAGAGTCTTGAGTCGGCACGAGGATCGCGACAGGGGGACCCGCTCGGCCCTTTTCTTTTCGCTTTCACGCAGCAGCAGGTGCTGGGGACGGTGACTAGAGAGTTCAGGGACCTACTTTTCTTGAGCTATGCAGACGATACCTACATCCTGGGACCAGCGGCTAGGATTCTGGAGGCTTTTGGGGTGCTGCGAGAGAGGTTGGAGTGGGTGGGGCTGGAAGTGCAGGCGCACAAGTGCAGGTTTTGGGAGCGTGGAGGTGGGGATATGGAGCGGGCATTGCCTTTGGGGATGCAGCGGGAGGAGGAGGGTCTTACTGTGGTGGGCGTGCCTATTGGGGAGGAGGATTGGGAGGGGGCCCGATTACGGAAGCGGCTTCGCGAGTTGCAGGCGCCATTGCCGTGGCTCCCCCTGCTCGACCACCCCCAGATGGCCTCGCATCTCCTCGCTATTGCAGTTTCAGCACGGCCGATGTACCTGGCCCGGACTATGCCGCCGCGGCCGGAGGTGGTGGAGGCCTTTAGAGAGTGGGACAGCTGTCTGGAGGATTGCTTTGAGCAGCTTTTCCCCCCTGGCACTTGGGAGCAGGATCCCGGCAGGTCTAGGCGCGCACGCATGCAGCTGCATCTCCCTGTGCGCCTCGGAGGGTTTGGGATCCGGGCGGCGGCCTCTTTGAGTCCGCTCTCCTATGTTTGTGGGTGGGCGCAGGCCGCACGGGATATTGCACATTTGGGGGTGGCGGGCGAGGAGGCGATGTTTGCAGAGTACCTCACCACTTCGGCGGGGGCGGAGCTTCTTGACCCGTGGTTTGCCAAGGCCATTGAGCAGTTGCCCGCGACTATACGCCAGGAGCTGCCGGACTTACCCCTGTGTGTGGCGGCCCCTCCTCTTCGGCTTTTCCAGGCGCGGCAGCGGCAGTTGGCTGTTGAGGAGCTCCAGGCACTCCGCCGCTTGGCTCGTGACGATGCCACCCTGGCCCGTTTCACATCCCTTCAGGGCCCGGGGGCTGGTGCATGGGTTTCGGCAGTTCCGGCTCATTCAGATCTCACATTCACTGCAGCGGAGTGGGGCATTGCTGCTGCTATACGGCTTGGTCTCCCAATCCAGCAGCTGCAAGTGGCGGGGAGGTGTGTTTGTGGCACAGCGTATGATGACCCAGCAGACCCGCATCATGCGCTGAGATGCAAGCACCAACACGGTCCATCTCGGGTGCATGATGAGGTGAAGTTTGCGGTGGCAAAGATCGCTAAGGCGTCAGGGGGGGTGGTGACGATGGAGGATAGTGCGGTGCTGCCGGGGAAGCGGGTTGACGTAGCGGTGCGACGACCAATGGCTGGGGAGGCTCATGCTTTAGAGATTAGTGTCGCGGACCCGCTATCACTGTCTCCATCTCTGCTAGGGCAGTGCGGGCGGTCTATAGGCGTGGCGGCAAAGGAGTGGGAGCGTCGCAAAACGGGGGATTACGCGCCTCTTCTTGCACGGAACCGAGGCGTGCAGTTCACCCCTTTGATAGTGGAGACGTGGGGGTGTCTCGGCGGTCGCTTCCGGCGGTGGCTTCGACAGCAGGGGGACGCGCACGTGGGGCTAGCTGTGTCACGGGGGGCTTGTCGGGAGGATGACACTTCGTTCTCGGCTTACCTTTTGGGGTCTCTGAAGGCGCTCATCGGAGTGGCGTTACAACGGGCGCAAGCTCGTGTCATCCTGCTTCGGGCGGCGTCTTCCATGGGGGGGTTGAATGTGGACTTGGTGGATCGGGAGAGGGACGATGTCGAGGTGGAGGGCGGGCCTCTTTGGGTGGAGGCCCCCTACATGGTGGATGTGCAGATGTGACTTGGGGGGGAGGGGGGGGGGGGGGGGGGCGAGGGGGAATGGGGTGCGAGATGGGACGTCTGGTAGGGGATTTTGGTTGGGTTTTTTCTTTATGGAGTATTTTTATGGGGCTTTTTATGGGTGTTGCGTTTGAGTTGTTTCTGGTGTCTTTCTTTCCCTTTTCCTTCTCCCTCTTTCCCTTTTCCTCTTTCAAAAGCGTGAAGCCAGTTTCTGGGACTTAATATGAAAATGTCATCGTTAAGGAGGAATGTATTCTACAACCTAACCTTCTGTATGCCCCGCTTCAAGCACCTGTTGTTTTCGTGATAGCCGAACGCCTCGAGCATGCCGCGGGAGAAGGCCCAGATGACATACGTCTCGCCGCTCAGGTTGATCGGAACCGTGCCGCCATCCCCGTTGGTGCGAGAGAACCTGTGGAATCGAGAAGCAAATTCACACGAGTTTAAATTTGCCGTGCGCATTTGGAGTCCCCTGCTAAAACCGTGGAAGACCGCAAATGATTGGGTATAACAAAGGCTCTGGAGAAATCACGCACTTCAGAATTGTGGACCCAGATGTCGAGGTGGTAACAGACGGGTTCGGCCCGAGCGAAAACGTGTCGTTGACGATCTCAGCCATCTTGTAACCATCGAGTCGGTACGCCTTGATCCCGGGCGTGTTACCAACAACGGCGTCGGCAGGCGCCATGGCCCCGTTGTTGGACCACCCGACGGAAATCCAGCTGTTCTCCGCGCCACTGAGGGGCTTCGCCTCGAGAGCCATCTGGAAGACGGGACCGGGCAGAACCTTCCAGTGCAGCAGAATCCTGCCGGTGATTCGAGGAATAACAGAAGATGGGAGGCCGTACGGAAGCATGCAAGCAGCATTAGGGTGCATTCACGTGCAAAAACAAGAAACAACTTGTGCATCAAACTCGAGACAGAAAGGGTCATGGTGATGTTGTTAACACTATTGAGTGATTGTACTACACTGTAAATAGTACCGCTGGTTACGTGAAACAACGCTTACTTTCCGCCGGAGAGATCCGCTTGGTGCTCGAAGTCGCTTAGCGTCGACTTGGGGCACGACGACCCCACCGTCACATTTCCGCCCTGCGCCGCCACCACCGGCACCGTTTGTTGCGCCGCCACGCCGCCGCCGCCGCCGTTGCACGAAAAGTCAACTTGGAAAGAGCCACTGCGCGAAGGAAACACAAACAGAAAGTCGAAATGAGCGGTTAGGATAAGGGCAAGGAGTGCGGATCAGATTGGTGTGAAACTGCCGCTGTTGAAAAGCTCTTGGATAAGGGTAGGTATGTAGAACGGGACTGCACGCGTACCGTCTCTTGTCGCCGTGATATGCGAGCGGCTGGGTGTTGTCAGAGGAGAAGGCCCAGATGACGGTGACGTTGCCAGTCGTGGACATGGGCGCAACGCCTTCCGTGGTGTTCGAACCTGAAGGCGTCAACCAGACGGAAAACGTCAATGAACGTGTGTTGCTGAAAGAAAAATTTACGAAAAAGGCTTTCTAGTTACATTCACGCGTGAGTTTCAGCAGCGAAGACGGAAAGATACAGGGAAAGGGAGGAACGTTTGTTGCTCATTGCTCTGGGAGCGAAGTTTGAAAGGGCTTACTTCATGATGAGGCTCCCGTTGGTCTTCGAGAGTAGGCTCGAGTCGTCGCCAATCCAGAGGTCCTTGTTGACCTTGATAGAATCCGCGTCGTATCCCTTCATTGAGTAGGCTGCGATGGGCGAGTCGGGAAGGTTGCCGATGATTGCGTCAGCCTTCTTCATCTTGCCGTCCTTGGAGAAACCAATTGAGACCCATCCCAATCTCGCGCCGCTGCCGTACTTCGCCTCGAACGCGAATTTGACGACCGTTGGGGAGACGACGGCCCAGTGCAGCACGTGGCCGTACTTGGTGATTTGATACGACGACGTGTAACCGTCCAAGTCGGACGGGTCGCAGGTGGAATTCTGCGCGACACCAGTTTCAGTGCCGTTGTATGGAGTACCGGAAAAAACTGGGGTCGTGTTGTTGTCTGGAGTATCGGGAAAGATCGGGGTTGAGCCGTTGTCGGGGGTATCGGGAAAATTCGGTGTCGTGCTCTTGTCCGGAATATTGGGAGTAAGCGGGATTCCCGAGCTGACCTGGTTGGGTTGCACAGTCCCGGCATACGCGCTAGAGTCCGCCGCGCTTGTCTGCTGAACTCCGGTTTTGGAGTCGTCGCCCGCGAGAGGATCCCTGCCGCCCAGAGGGTCGTTGGGGTCGAATGACGGGCCGGGGTTCGAAACCGACGGCTCAGATGTTCCGAAAGGGTCGTCTGTGAAGACGTCTTGAGGGGCCGATGCCGGGTTTGGGGTGGCGACGGGGTCGCTCGCCGCTGTAACAGGCTCGGGAGGCGGGACAGCAGGCTCGGGGTCGTTGGGGCGGGGTGTGATGACAGCGGCGGGAGTGACGGGCTCGTGATTGCCAATGAACTGGCTGTTGGAATTTCCAGAACCCGCGAGGTCGCCGCGGTACTTCATGTCCGCAGCGTGCGCCGCGGAGAATACCGAGGAAGCCAATAGAAGAAGATGTAATACGCCCATTGCGTGGCGAGCCATGGCTGGGTGCAGGCGTTGAGGATGCAAGAAGGAAGCTTGACGGAGAAAAAATGGCGTTCCTGTAGGAGGTAAGCTAACAACGATCAGTGACGAGATTACAAGCTAAATTCTGATGCTTTAGACAATGTGGGCTGCGGGAATCTATATACCGTGGAGACTGGCCGATCTGATAGGTGTATCAAGAAGCCTGGCACCTGCAAAACGCGGCGCGGGGCGGACAAAAACGTCTAAATGCATCACACGCGTGGAATCTGCGACATTATCCTTTAGTGGGTGTCCTAGCTGAATTGCAAATGTCCGACATTACGCGACAAATTCAGGCAACTCGACCCTTGTTCAGGCTGCTCGAGCCATTGTGCTTGTGATTGCAGAGCCGAAATTCGCACATTCACCCTTCGTGCCTCGAGGTCTTCGTTATTGATAAGAACGCGACTCCGATTGCTTTTCGTGGGAACAAGATGGCATCGCGGCTCGGCTTGGCACCATGATGCATCCCAGCGATTTTTTGGCATAATAGCAAGTACAATCGCACAATAATTTATTTCAGCCTACATACGAACCCAACATAAATTAGACTGCTATTTTATGTATAAATGTATCTGTATGTAGATATGTATATACTCCCTGATGTAAAAATAGTTTGTTTACATGAACTTGAAAAAATCCACTGAGCAGGGATGTCTCCACCCAAAAAAAATGTTCGATAAAATAGGGGCAACATTTCCATAAATGGGCCACCATGGCCAGCACAGCCATACATTTGGCAATGGACTATTCTATAAAGCTAGGCAAGGCATCACAACCATCTTTTGCGCTGTGCCTAACGAGCCAACACAGCTCCAAAAGATGCCTGTGGTCCGGCCGATCTGACCCACTCCCTTTACCCACCCCGCTTCTACAACTACACACTCAACTCATCTCAGCAAGCTCACCCTCCCTCTACCAGTGCTTTGCAACTGTGCGGCATGGAGTGTACAGTGTACAGTGTGCAGCTTCCAGCGAGCGCCACGGTAAGGCCCGGTAAGGCTACCACCGCCATCGCTACCCTCCCCATTGTGAGCAGATGGGGCCTTGGCACAGGAGAAGTCCACTTTCATCCCACCTCTGTGGTGGAACAAGTGGAAGGGAGAGAGTGAGCGGGAGAGAGGGTGGTGAGATTAAGGGGAGGAAGTGGAGAGGCTGTGCGCAGCTTGAAGAGATAGGAGGCTTGAGATCGCAGAAGTAGAGAGGTAAAGAAAGAGGAAAGCAGGGGTGCGAAGTCAATGTATCGAACAAGAGGTAGAGATAGGGAGACTCACACGTTGTCGCCGTGGAAGTCAAGGGTTTGGGAGTTGGTGTTGGAGTGCGCCCATATAAGCTTTTTGGATGCAAACATGTCGAACAGAAGGTAGAAGTAGAGGGGGAGATAGGGAGACTCACACGTTGTCGCCGTGGAAGTCAAGGATTTGGGAGTTGGTGTTGGAGTGCGCCCATATGAGCGTCTCGAGACCGCTCATCTTGACGGGAATAGCCCCCGTGTTGGCCGTACGCGAGAACCTGATTGGTCGAGGGTGAAAGAAGAGTAGACACAATCGGTTAATCAATTAGAAAAGAGAGAGAGAGAGAGAGAGAGAGAGAGAGAGAGAGAGAGAGAGAGAGAGAGAGAGAGAGAGAGAGAGAGAGAGATGCGAAGCATTAGGGAAACAGGGAACAGGTGCGAGGGCGGGTTACGCAGTCATTAATGCGCGCCACAAAAGCTCGGCACTCACTGGATCACTGTAGATCCCGAAGCTGATGTCACGGTGCCAGCATTGGCGCCAATGTCAAACGAGGCGCCTTGTAACGAGGACATGCTCTGGCCAGTGATGTGGTACGCGCTGACGAGTCCCCCGGCCTTGTTGCCAATGACTGCATCAGAGGGAGCCATATCGCCGCCGTTGGCCCAGCCAAGGCCGAACCAGCCGTTGAGTGCTGGCGCCGCTGCTGCTTTTGAGCTCCACAGCCATGTCCAGCTGTGTGGCGGACGCGCGCTTCCAGTGCAGCAGCACTCTGGAAATCGGAACAAAGGAGAGGGAGGGAGGGAGGGTCATGACGGGGATGAGAAGAAGCTGACGTGAGGAAATGCCGAATGCGCAGCAGTAGGAGGGAGATGCGGTGGCTACAAAGGGTTAGAATACGGATGTGATCACAACTGCAGGCACATACCCGGGTTTGATCTGCGCCTGGTAGGAGTAGCCGCAGAGGGTGGACGCAGGGCATTTGGTGCCGCTCTTGCCCGTGTTTGCCGTGCACGTGCCTGCTCCGGTGCCCGAGCCTGATCCCGAGCCAGATCCCGAGCCTGATCCTGAACCCGACCCAGAGCCTGACCCCGAGCCACCCGTGCCGTCGCAAGTAAAGTCAACGGTACTGGCTCCTCTGGAGAATTAGAAACAGGCGGGGACGATGGAGAAGAAAACGAAGATGTTTGAGAGTCGGTAATGAGGAGAAGAGAGGAAGTGGGCAGGAGGTGCAAATCAGCGCAGGTCTGCACTGTACGAAAAGCTGGAGACGCAATAACGAAGTCAGGAAACCTATACGAAGTGGAAGTTGGAACGAAGGGAGCGTGAGCGCGAAAGGCACCTGTGTGCGCCGCCATGGATGGCGAGTGTCTTCGAGCCGCTCATCGAGTAAGCTCACACGAGCTTGTTGCTCCCAGCCACGTTCACCGGCACGAGACCTTTTCCCGTGGCGCGCGTGAACTTGACAATCGTGCTTCCGCCCGACGAAGTTACGCTCGCCCCGGTGATGGCGAAGCGCGTTGTGGTAACCACACTCGAGTAGCTCGATATCGCGTACGTGCCCACGCCGCTGGCAGTCGCGAGGTTCCCGATGACCGCGTCGGAGTTGAACATGCCGCCGTTGGTCCACGCCACCGCGAACCACCCGCTCGCCGCGCCGCTCGTTGACGTGGCCTCGAGCGCGAGGTCGATCGTTGACCCCGTTGACTTTTTCCAGTGCAGGATGAGCCTGCAGTGACAGAACGCGAACATAAGAAATTGTGGGTAAGAAGTGTTACACGTACAATGCACGGACGACGGTTGGGATTCTTGCAATCTATCGAACACATGATATCGGGGATAACTACGCCCCGTACCTACCCGTTGCCTGAAGGGTCCACGGAGCTCGTGTAACCCGCGAGAGTCGACGACTGACACGTGCCCGTGGCAGCAGTCGTCGCCAATGGTTTCGAGGCTACGGCTGCGCTGCCGCCGGCTGTAGCAGCCGCAGCGCCTTTGTGAAGAAGCTTGCGCAAGGTTGTCATGCGCCACGAGTGGAATCTGTTGGTGAGGCCTTGGGATTTCCGGCCGGATAACGTTGAATGATCGCCGGCGGCGCTCGCAGCGCCAGCGAGCATCGCGGCGACGAGGAGGAACGTAATGTAGAGGCGCATCGTGATGAGCGTGAGCGCGCCGGTTCGTGCGCTCTCAGAGCTCGGGTTGGAGCCATGGAAACGGAGGTGGGTTGGCGTGTGTGAGAGTTGGTGGAGTGGTGTTGGATGGGGTGAGAGTAGATGGAGTAGGTTGAGTTGAGCGGGCGTTACGGAAATGCGGATGGAGGTCTAGGGGGGCCGGAGTCTGCGATAATCTTGTTAGCGGTAGGATTTATAGTGAAATTGATAGGGCAATCAAGAGAAAGAATGAGCAGGCAGGCGGGCGGAAAGGGGACACCGTGCGACCAGGAGTCGATAAGCGGGGCGGCGATGGCCCGTGGAATGGTGGAATTGGAGTATGCTGATTGGCTGCAAGGCGCGCATTGCCCCTGGCGCAACAGCGCGCCCCGAAACTACTGGTTGGGGGAATCCAGTCGTCCGCCGCCGCATACTAGTTGCGCATCGCGGGGACACGTGTTTTTCCTGCCCTGGGTGTGTGGTGGTCAGAATCAAGAAGGGGGGTGGTCATGAATTCAGCACAAGCACGATACGTTTGGTGATTTCTGATTGGCCAATGTAATTGACCCCGTCACTGACCACTGTCATTCAGCGAAAGCTTGCCCATGAAGCGTGTTCGCGAGGTCGGTCGAGCTGTTGCTTGGCGCAATGAGGTGGGCGACAGAGGGTAACTCTACCTCGCGGGGGTCGTTGCCTAATGACAGCGTTTTCGCAATTTCCGTCGGGAAGAAGCACGTGGGTCCCGTAAACTTCCATTGCCGCGCTGGCACGAGAACCAGTCCCAGTCAACCAGTGCAGGATACAGAAAGGCTGGCGTGGCGTGTTGAAGGTTGTTGACCGTGGTAGGTGGGGGTTCTGAGGCCAGCCTCCGTTGCAATGCATTTCAATACACGAGCTATAACTTTTCTCAACACTGCACCTATTGCAAACACCTAATGGGGTGGGTAAATTGAGCACTGTCTTCTTCAGTCTTATATTACAAATTGTAAGCAAAACAATTGCGAATAAACAGCAAGGCATGGCATCACAACCATCTTTTGCACTCTGTCTGATCCGACCGACATCACAGACCTCCAAAAGATGGATGTGCTCCTGCCTGTCGACAACACTCCCTACTCTACCCTCAGTCTTCCCTTATCCGATGGGGCTAGAAGAAGTGTGCGATGTGTACATCTGTGACTTGTTGAGGCCGAAGAGTGACCCGGCAAGCCAAGTGATGAACTGGTAGGCCACAGGCCCCACTGCTTTAAGACCAGTCTCGGTGGATGGCGCAGTGGCACATGAAAAGTCCACCGAGATATGACCACTGTCATGAATAAGGGTGGAGGAGGGAGAGAAGGAGAGAGGGGAAGATAGGAGAGGGAGGCGGGGGAAAGGGAAGAAACGAGAATGAGAAGGTAGCAGTTGAATGAGAAGGCAGGGGGGGTTTTCAAAGGCACTAATTCAGCATGAGAGGTAGAGAGAGATGGAGACAGAGAGGCAAACAGAGAGTAAACAGAAGGTTCAGGAGAGAGATAAACAGGGAGATAAAGGGGGATGTGAACAGAGAGGTGCAAGTGAGACGGAGATCATGAGGTTTAGGAAGACTCACGCAGCAGTGAAGTGGAAGCCAAGGGTCTTGGAGTTGGTGGGGGAATGCGCCCATATAATCCGATGCACGCCGCTCATCTTCACGGGAATAGACCCGGTGTTGGCCGTGCGCGAGAACCTGATTGGTCCACAGGAATAAAAAAGAAAGAAGGTATTCAGTTTTCCTGGTTCAGATAATGCTCAGAACGAGGGAGTTAGGGGAACAGATATCGGGTAGGGAAGTGGGTGATAGCGGGGGCAGACAAAAGAATAAACCAGCGGGTTGGCTGAGAGGTATGGTAGCTGATGTGATGACACGACCTTGCACCAATGTGCGACCCACTCACTGGATCACTGTGGACCCTGTAGCAGACGTCACGGTCCCAGCGCTGCTGCCAATGTCAAACGAGCCGCCTTTTAACGAGGACATGGTGTAGCCGTCGATGTAGTACGGGCTGACGAGTCCCCCGTCCCTGTTGCCAATGACAGCATCGGCGGGAGCCATGCCTCCTCCGGATGCCCAGCCGAGGGAGAACCAGCCATTGCTGGCGCCGCTGCTGCTCTTGAGCTCCACTGCCATGTCCAGCTGCGTTGAAGACGCCGGCTTCCAGTGCAGCAGCACTCTGCGGAAGGGAGGAGGAAGCGACGGGGGGACGGGGTTTGGGTGCAAACGGGAGGGGGGAAAAGGGGGATGAATGATGTGCCTTGAGCTCAACGGCCATGTCCAGCTGCGTGGCGGATGTGGGCTTCCAGTGCAGCAGCACGCTGGAGAAAGGGGAGAAGAAGGGGAGAATGCAAAGAAGGGTAGAACGTGGGGGGGAGGAATAGGGGGGATGAGTCGCTGTTGCTCTTGAGCTCCACAGCCATGTCCAGCTGCGTGTCAGATGCAGGCTTCCAGTGCAGCAGCACGCTGGTTTGGGGGGAGAAGAAGGGGAGAATGAGAAGGGCAGAACACGGGAGGGATTAGGGTGAATGAGTCACTTGTTTTGAGCTCAACGGCCATGTCCAGCTGCGTGGCGGGCGCGAGGTTCCAGTGCAGCAGCACTCTGGGGAGAGGAGGTGGAAGAAGGGGAGAAGTGGGAGGGGAGGCGGAGGGAGGAAAAGGGAAAATGGGTTACATGTCCTGAGCTCCATGGCGCTTCCAGTGCAGCAGATTGTTAGAGAGGCACAGGAACAGAAGGGGGAATAGAATTCAAGGGTGCACTGCAGGGTTGGGGCGAAGTAAATCAAATCTGCAACAAAGGTGACACCAGTGGCCTTTGGTTAAGAAGACGAGGTGACTGACGCTGGAACATTAGGCTGTGCATGTGCACACCAGGATTTGATTATCTCTGCATGCGCATACCCGGGTTTGATCTGCGCCTGGTAGGAGTAGCCGCAGAGGGTGGACGCAGGGCATGCCGTGCCGCTCACGCCCGTGTTGTCCGTGCACGTGCCTGCTCCGGTGCCCGAACCTGATCCCGAACCTGACCCCGAGCCTGACCCAGAGGCTGTGCCGTCACAAGAGAAATCGACGGTCTTGGCTCCTCTGGAGGGTTGGAAAATAGGCGGGGACGCGGGGACGGAAGAATGACAGTTTTTTGAATCGTAAATAAATAGAAAGTATAAGTATACTATTGCGACAGAGTGACAGCCATTCAGAAGCGAGAGAGAGCGCACCGCCGTACCTGTGCGAGCCGCCATGGTTGGCAACAGTCTTCGAGCTTCCAGACTCCGAGTAAGCCCAGACGAGCTTGTTGCTCCCGGCCACCTTCACCGGCACGAGGCCGTTCCCCGACGCGCGCGTGAACTTCACAACAGTTCTTCCACCCGACGCGGTAACGCTCGCCCCGGTGATGGCGAAGCGCGTCGTGGGAGTCACGCTCGAGTAGCTCGATATCGCGTACGTGCCGACGCCGCTGGCCGTCGCGAGGTTCCCGATGACCGCGTCGGAGTTGAACATGCCGCCGTTGGTCCACGCAACTGCTATCCACCCGCCCGCGGCGCCGCTCGTTGACTTGGCCTCGAGCGCGAGGTCGATCGTTGACCCCGTTGACTTTTTCCAATGGAGGATGAGTCTGGACAAGAAAGAAGCGACCCGGAGGAGTACATGATGAGCTTGGGAAAAAAACCAAGGATTTGCATTAGGAAAGTGCAGGCGACTCGAAACACGTGAACAGTTCGGGCCCTTGGGTAGGACGATAAAGGTGATATAATGCAGACTGGGATCGTTTTCACTATCGAGGATAATCTCTGAAACCCCGTCACGGTACTATCGAGGGTAATCTCTGAAACCAGTCGCGTTCTATCGAGGATAATCTCTGAAACCCCGTCGCGGTACTATCGAGGATAATCTGAAACCCCGTCGCGGTACCCACCCTTTGCCTGAAAGGTCCACGGAGCTCGTGTAACCCGCGAGAGTCGACGCCTGACACGTGGACGTCGAGGCAGGGGTCGCCAATGGTTTCGCCGCAGCTCCGCTGCTGGCTGTAGCAGTGGCGGGTTTCGCCGCTGCTCCGCCGCTGGCTGTAGCAGTTGCGGCACCAGCTGTAGCAGCAGTGCCTGTGGGGAGAAACTTGCGCAAGGTTTTCAGGCGCCACTGGTGGCTGTTGACGAGGCGGCCTAGGGAATGTCGGGCGGACGGAGATGGCTGATCGCCGGCGGAGCTCGAAGCGCCCGAAGCGGCTGCGGCCGCGCTGTCATAAACTAGTACCGCGGCGACGAGGAGGAACGTAACGATGAGGCGCATGGTCGTGATACGCGCCGGTTTGTTTGCTCTGGATGCGGCCATGAGGTCGGGCGACGGATAGGTAGGCGGAGTGGGGTTGGGTAGGGTGTGTTGTGCTGAGCGAACGTCAGACGCGAATGCGATTGGAGCGAATGGTGTGGAATGGTGAATGGTGGAGAGAGTGAATGGTGCGATGGCGGGAAGCTGTTGCTGGGACTACTATCAGTTTCACTCAGCAGGGAAATCCGAAATTCCGAGAGCACTCAGGGGGGATGCAAGAGAAGGAACTAGACTTACTACTTCGGACGTCCAACGCTCTGCACCGTATTACAAACCACAACAATAGGAGGATTTGCCGTGTGCAGCACACGCAGAACTTTCATGCGTTGGACCGTGCCCGGGTTCGGTTTGCAGTCGGTGGTAGGGACTCTGGTCTGGAGTCGGTGGTGCTGGTCAGGAAGGTGACTAGGGCGCCCCGCGTCGGGCCAGATTGGCTAGCTCGTGACCCGACGTTGGAGCGTGGTGTGGAACGGTGAAATCAGAACTGGTTTGGGTGGTAATAGTTTCTCTAAGCGCACATCGCTCGCGCCACGAAACAACTGGTTCGATAAAGCCGACGCGTGCCTCTTTTTCTGGGCCAGGTTTGGTTTGGGTGTCAACCGCGTGGAGGCTGGATGCTGGCTGTATCCAGACAGACCAATCAACAACGTTTGTCGGCCTGACAGGG